ATAAAACATGTTTGATGTCTTACTGTGGATGTAGATCTTTGACCGAACCACATAATTCTTTTGTGTTCTTTTTTTTCAATAATTTTATACTTAATTTATACTTCATTTGTGTTGAGCATTTTATTGTATTTCTTCTTATTTTATTTGTATTTGATACTCACGAAGTGGTGAGCAATATATTTTAATTTTATGTAACTAAACTGTAATATTTTGAGACATCTATTTTACCTATTATTTTCCATAAATAGTTCTGTTGCAAACACTTGCAAACAGTTTAACCAAACAGGGGCAGAATAATCATTTATCCAACAACAGCTCCCAGTAAGCTGTTCTGAATAAGCTGCACCAAACAACAAGCAAACTTATTCTGATAATTTGCAGATTATCATATTATCAGAATAATCTGTTTATCACTAGATTATAAATAATCAACAGCTGCCCCAAACAGAACCCAAATCAATGCTGCTTTGCGCAACACTAACTGTAGATAAAATTACAGGTAAGTTTGATATGTGTTGTTAGAAAACAATTATTTTGTAGTTGTTTCTGGCAAATGACTATTCTGTTCATATGCGATAATGTTGTTTGCAACAGAACTGTCATGACAATATATTTGATACTTGACAAACAAAAATTTAATTTATAATAATACAAATAATAAGTTATACAACCACATATATGACCTGAATTAACACAACCATCACATCACATCCACATATATGGTTGTGTTTGTTTGCACACATTCACATACATACCACATAATTCTTATATATGCACATATATAATACCTAATCTTTGATATTTCCACACATAAAACTCAAATCTTTAACATCAAAATAAAAATATCACAATTGCTAATTTTTATAAGTAAAATACATCCATTCATGTATGGGTTTTCTATTAAGGTTTCTTCTCCCATACTTGCATAACGGTTCCCCTCTCTCCCTCTCTGCCAACAACTTTAAGAGCAAGCTGCCCCACTTTACTCCCTTCCTCTTTGTTTTGGTCTAGAAACCAAAACATCCAAAACAACAAGGTTTAAAATAAAAGCATCTGATTGCCAAGGATGTTAGTAGCTAGACAAACAAAATGAAGTTGTTTGAACATGAAAGCTTTACAAATAGAACAAATGGAAATGAAAGAATCAATCAAGTATTATTTGTCTGTATTTTTGTGTGTTTATCAATCCAAATGATATGAAAAAGAATACAAGAAGCATAAAGTTGCACGCAAAGGAACCCAAGAAGCACTGGAATCACCTTCGGGAAGCTGGCGGAGAGAGCGACGCTGGACTTAGTGCGGGCTCTCTCACGGGAGGCAGAGAGGGCAACACTGGCTAGCTGTAGCCTTTCTCACGGAGTCGGAGATGAGGGCACAAGGATGACAAGGGAGCAATGGTCGACTTGGTGAAATGCTAGTGCAAAGGAGTCGAGGAGTGCGGGCAACCGCAAAATTATGTATGTTTCGAATTATAGGAAAAAAATTATGAATGTTCCGAATTATAGAAACCGCCAGCCGCTTTCTGCCAAAATTATCGGCGGGTATCCCCAAACGCGACATCCAAACGAAAAAAAAAATTGTGGCTTGAGGCCGTGCCGCGCTAGAAAAACAGCCCCAGACGCACCTTCAGATTTATGATATCATACGGGTGATAAATTTTAAAACTTATTTGTTGCGTTAATAAATAAAGTCTTATAAAATTTAAAAATTATTTGATAAATTCAATATAATTTTGTTGGATAACATCTTAGAAGTATTTTTCTGCTAAAAACATAAATTTCGCATTTCACAAATATGACTTCAGAAACCAATATATGATTCTTAATGTTTTAAGAGTAAAGAGGTTAATATTGAACATTAACAATATAATCATCACGTTTAATTAAATATAATTTAATTTTTTTATGTATAATTATGCTAATCAATAATTAAATATTTATTAAACTAATTAATTATTATTATTTTTATTAATTTTTGAAGCTAATTATATTCAGTAATAAGTTTACATTCATTAATGAATATTTAACTAGTTATTCATTAAACAAAGTAATATTTATTAATAAATTTTAAAATGATTAAATTTAATATGTAATTTATTTTATTAATTGATAATTAAATAAATATATAGGTTTATTTAATTATAATTAAGTTGATAGTATATCATTTAATTATTAGTTCTTAAAAAATAAAATTAACTTAAATAAAATTAAGTTAATGCCGCAAAACCATCTTTCGCTCCCCTTCTCCTGCCCGTAACCCTTGCTTGCTATCGGTTCCGTCTAAAACCATCGCCTTCATGAGCAAGACGGGATCACAATGTACAAAGACCTTCAAAACTCTCATCTTTCTCCTCCTTGTGGTCCGCTTCTACCAGAAATCATTGAGGAAGGCAACCCTCATCTTTCTCCACTTTGGCCCCTTCCTCTCTTTATCTCTTCCCTCCTCGTTTAGCTTCTCTAAATCTCATAAATCCGTAATCCATAGGATTTACTAAATCCTAGATTTAAGGTAAAATAAAGGAAAAAAAGGATTTAAGAAATTGTAGGATTTACGAATGTGGTTTTTGCTATTTTGCATGATTTAGCATAAATCCTAGGTTGTTAAAAATTGACCCGACACGCGAACATGACTTGAAAAATTTGGATTTGGGCTGACCCAAATATTTTTTGAGTCGTGGTCGGGTTAGGGAATTCAACCCGTTTATTATTTGGGTCGTGTTTGGATTAACCTGATTCGGGTAGGGTCTTTTTTGGGTCGGACTCGAACCTGACCCGCCAACCCAAATTAACATCACTAGGTGTCAAAAATTGACTCAGACATGCCAACACGACTCAAACTCGACTTGAAAAATCCTAGTTTGGGTTAGCCCGATTATTTTTCTAGTCTGGTTCCGGTTAGAAAATTCAACTCGTTTATTATTTAGGTCGGGTTCGGGTTGACTCGATTCAAGTCGGGTAATTTTTAGGTCGGACCCAGGCCAGACCCACTAACTCGAATTAACACCCTTAATAAACCCAATAAAAATTATTGCCTTGAACGCTGTGGTTTATAATAATATTGATGTTTGAAGCAAAAAAGATTGTGTTTTTTAACACAATTACTTGTAGATTTTTAATATAAATGACCGCCTTGAACGCTGTGGTTTATAATAACTTAATTTTTTTAAATTACAACTATCATACCTCATACTATTGAATTATTTTTAGAAAATAAAGATTAAATACAAGTAAATTAGATAAATCATAGTATATCGAATCGAGTTGTTGCTAAATCCAATATAATATTTGGTTCAGTTAAAATTAAATTCATTAAATTATTTGTTATATTAAAGTATTATTTCAGGATTTAAGAGTAATTCATTTTCAAAGAATTTAGCTAAGAAATACAAGATTAATATTATATTAAATTTAAAAATACTAAAAATTGCGATGTCTTGCACAAAAATAAAAATAACTATGTTTTTCTAGTCATGCGGCGTTGAGAAACTGTTTGCATATTGTATAATTATCATCTTCCTTACAATTTCTTTTTTTTTTTGCCCTCCTTAACTCCATCTCCAATGCCTTTCTTATCCATTGGAAACTTCCTTACAATCTCTGGCTTAGGTCTTCGTGCATCGCTTTGTCAATCTTGAAATTAGTAGCTACGACTTACCTATTTATATCAACGACTGATAATACCGATATGACATTTTCCTTGTCGATTGATTCTACGACATCCTCACCTCGTTGGGATTATGGTAGAAAGAGACTAGAGTGTGTTTTGGAACTATCATTTTCCAAAATGGTGTAACACTGCTC